CTAGCCACACCCCTGATAGCACAGCTCATTAGCATATTAGGCCACACCCCATGTTACCAGAAGTGTGGTCATCCAGCCACACCCACCTTTTGCTTCTTATTCTGTTTACCTTGTTTGTTGTCAAAACCCAGGGCTTTTTTTTGTAGCAGGAACTCCTTTGCATGTTAGGCCACACACTCCTAATGTAGCCAATCCTAATGAGTTTCTGCTGTTGGGTGTGGCCTGTTATGCTAATGTGTTCCTGCTGGGCATGGCCAACTTGGGAGCCAGCCGGAACTCCGTTCCTGTGTGTTCCTGCCCAAAAATAGCCCTGGTTGTTCAAACAAACCCTGTCCTGATTTTTAAAGAATGCAAAGGTTTGCGTGGACTTAAATTACCCACTTCAAGATGACTCTTTCATCCTGAATCTTTAGCACCAAAGGCCGGGATTATTCCCCGCCTGGCTGGTCCAAACTAGGTGTTCTTCTTTTGTGACTAGAGAAATTGGCAACCTGCCACATCTATTTTTACCAAAAGCAATATATGTCCTGAGCTCAGAGCCGGTGAGATCACTTAAATAAGCCTCTTAGTCCTCTCTCACCAGATCGCTCCTCGGCATAACTTTCTAAGCAGTCTCCTTCTCTCTCACACAGAAACATACATGTGTTAAATCTAGATATCATCATTATCCCGCCAGCAATGTAGCTAATACCGTTAATGTCAATTCATGTCCATCCTGCCTTTTCACAGGGAGCGAACGCCAAGTTCAACCTCCGCCTTGTTGGGCCTGGTGGAATCTTCCGTGTCGTTCCTCAGACCGTCCTGAATGAAGCGCAGGTCACCATAATCGTAGAAAACTCTGCGACCATAGACTATGAAAAATTCCAGGTTTTATCCTTCAAGGTATTGTAACTGTTTCTTCTCTGGTTACAAAAGAGCAGGAGGAGGAGGAGGCCAGGGCACAGGAGGAGGGGCAGGGCACATTTGAGAGGGGGCATCGCCCCAAGAGGGCTCCCCCACTATGGGTCTGTGTCAGAGGATTCTTGGTGTCTGGAGTCCAAGACAAGCCTCTGTGTAAGGTTTTGAGGACAGAAACTCAGGTCCCAAAAGGCATTGTGGGAGTTGAACAGCCACTACTGCTGCCTCTTTGCTCAAGCTTAGCCCAAACAAAGGCCTATGGTGACTATCCTCAATAAAAAGGTAAAGGTCTCCCTTGCTCGAAAGCCAGTCGAGTCCGACTCTAGGGTTGCGGTGCTCATCTCCGTTTCAAAGCCGAAGAGCCAGCGCTGTCTGAAGACATTTCCGTGGTCATGTGGCCGGCATGACTAAACACCAAGGCGCACAGAAAGCTGTTACCTTCCCACCAAAGTGGTACCTATTTATCTACTTGCAATTTCTTGCTTTCGGACTGCTAGGTTGGCAGGAGCTGGAACTAGAGACAGGAGCTCACTCTGTCATGCGGCACACTCGGGTCTCGAACTGCTGAACTACCGACCTTCCACAGCCTGCAGTTCAGCGTCTTAACCACTTGAGCCACCGCAGCTCCATATCCTCCATACCCAGCTTCATAAAGCCTGGAAACATGGATGGAAGATTAGAAAGGGGAGGTTAAATGAGATCGAATATCCTTTTTGCTCTGCCCCACTGTGTCCTTCTCTGCCAAAAGAATTTTCATAGGCTCCCCACTTATTATTTTGAGCCAACGGGCATGGATGACCTGCCACATGACTAGGGTCCCCGGGTCCCCCCAGCCGCCAGCCAGGGGGTTGCCACCTGCAGGTTGAGAAACTGGTGCAGATTTGGGGGTGGATCCTGGGGAAGACAGGGACTTCAGAGTGGTTCAGTGCCAAAGCATTCATTGTCTTCATGGGAACCGATCTCTGCGGTCTGGAGATGAACTGTAATTCCAGGAGATCCCCAGGTCCCACCTGGAGGTTGTCATCCCCATACATGACCAATTTGGTCTTCTTCAGAGCATCAAAACACTGGACAGTTTGTACTCACGTTTAGGGTTGCCAGCTCCAGGCCTGGAGATTCCTGACAATTTGGGGGGGTGGAAATTGGGAAGGGTGGGCCTTGATACAGGGCAGGACCTTAGCATACATAATGCCATAGAGTCCACCCTCCAAAACAGCCATTTTCTCCAGGGGAACTGATCTCTATAGTCTGGAGACAAACTGTAATTCTGCGAGATCACCAGGCTCTTCCTGGAGGTTGGCAACATGACCAGTGTTCCAACGAATACACTGGTTGTGAGGGGTACATTTTGGTACTGGAGGACATGTGTCCCTATTAAGCTGCTTTGAAGTGATGGCCTGATCCCTTCCCGGCCCTCGCTTCCAATGCCTTTTAAGGACCACGCGCCTAGCCGTTAGGCTTGTCAGCCTCCAGGTGGGGCCTGGTAGGCTTGCCAAGTCCCCCCGGGGGGCGGGGAAAACCCCGTCCCAGAGGCTTGTTTCTCGCCGCCGCCGGATCAGGCCCCAGGGGGGACTCCACCCCGACGTGCACATCACCAGGAAGTGACGCAACCACTATGGTTTTCCCTTGGATAGTCGTGGCCCCGCCCCCAGCATGCCCAGCGTCGTCACGTCATGTCCCGCGCTCCGGGATCGACCCGGGAGTCCCCCGCTCCGGAACAAGGTGACACTTGGCAACCCTAGGGCCTGGAGACCTCCCACTTTTACAACTGATCTGCAGCTGACAGAGATCCGCTCCCCTGGAGAAAATGGCAGCTCTGAAGGGTGGACTCTGTGGCATTGTACCCTGCTGAGGCCCCTCCCCTCCCCAAACCCCGCCCTCTCCTGGATCTACCCCCAAAGTCTCCAGGTATTTTCCAACGCAGACCTGGCAACCCTACTAGCCGTCTGCAAACAAGGTCTTCACCATGACACGGTGCCCATGTGTTTTGAAAGGGCCCTGAAAAAAGGACAACATTGATCGTAAAGCAGCTGTCTTAAAATGGCTGACTTCTCCTCAATGGGATTTTTAAAATCCATTTGTGAAGGGACGTCAATAGGTATGAAATCCACCCTGGTAAACTGGTCTAACAGACGTTTAGAAGTTCCCACTCCTGACCATTCTGTCCTCAGGACTTACAAAACACTCCTGCTGGACATGAGGCGTGGGTTAGTTGGTGGGATTTAGTTGAGAGGGTCAGGGCTCTTTTTGTAGAAAAAGCCAAGCAGGAACTCATTAGCATAAGAGGCCACACCCAACAACAGAAACTTATTCGCATATCCAGCCACACCCCTGACAGCATAGCTAATTAGCATATTAGGCCACACCCCCACATTACCAGAAGTATAGCCACACCCACCTTTTGCTTCTTATTCTGTTTACCTTGTTTGTTGTCAAAACCCAGGGCTTTTTTTGTAGCAGAAACTCCTTTGCATGTGAGGCCACACACCCCTAATGTAGCCAATCCTAATGAGTTCCTGCTGTTGGGTGTGGCCTATTATGCTAATGAGTTCCTGCTGGGCATGGCCAACTTGGAAGCCAGCTGGAACTCCGTTCCTGTGCGTTCCTGCCCAAAAATAGCCCTGGGAGGGTGACAAAATATTAAGAGGGCACTGATTTTTTTTAAATTTAATTTAAGTTTGCCTTTAGCTGCTACCTTGCTATCATTATGGGAGTTAAGGTAAAGAGACAAAGGGAAAACCATGGTACATTGGGAAGAAAATTGTATTCCAATATGTTAATAACTCCTATAACATTATTCTAAGTTCCCAGCAGCATTTTTGGTGTCTCTTGATTATTGTTTTTCATGGACTTAGACTCTGCTTTGTATTGCACTGCAGGTGTTCTTTGTGCATGCTCAGAAGTTACACCTTTTAAAATGTTTTTATCATTATGTTGTCGAAGACTTTCACGGTCGGAGTTCATTAACTGTCTTAGATTTTCCGGGTTGTATGGCCGTGGTCTTGGCATTGTAGGACCTGACGTTTTGCCAGTAGCTGTGACTGGCATCCTCAGAGGTATAACACAGAATGATGGAATACTAGCTGTGTCAAGGTGAGAAGAAAATGGTAGGCAGGTAATTTATATCTACTCAGGAAGGTGGGGTAGTGCTGAGTCATTACCTTGTAGGAGTTCCCCAGGCTGTGAACATGCTAATGGAGGAGCTTTCCTGAGGAGGTTCTTTTGTATATGGATTGTTTCCTGAGGAGGTTTCCTATTTCCTGAGGAGGTTCTTTTACATGTGGATTGGCTGTTGAAATTCTAATCTTATCTGTAGTGCTATTGTCAGATGTAGAGCCTTTCGTGTTTTTCAGGAACGGAAACCATACCCTATTTATTTTTAAACTCTCTTATTTCCTGTTGAAATTGTGTTTATGTTTATGAATTTCAATCGCTTCCCTGTGTAATCTGACATGGTAATTGAAAGTGTTGTCCATCCTTTCAGTGTCTTGGAACAAAATACTGCGTCCTGTTTGAGTTAGGCTATGTTCAGCCACTGCCTGATTTTTCAGGTTGGCCAAGTCTGCAGTGTCTTTCATGTTCTTTTATTCTTGTCTGAGTGCTATGCTGTGTAGTCCCGATGTAAACCTGTCCACAACTGCATGGTATGCAGTATACTCCTGCAGTCTAGTGGTTAGAGTGTCAGGCTAGGATCTGGTAGATCCAGGTTCAAATCTCTACTCTGCCGTGGAAGCTTGCTGGGTGACCATGGGCTAGTCATACACTCTCAGCCTAGTGGTTAAGAGCACAGACTCTAATCTGGGAAAACCGGGTTTGATTTCCCACTCCTCCACTTGCAGCTGCTGGATGACCTTGGGCAAGCCTCTCTCAGCCCCACCTACCTCACAGGGTGTCTGTTGTGGGGAGGGGAAGGGAAAGGAGACTGTAAGCCACTCTGAGACGCCTTCAGGTAGAGAAGGGCAGGGTATAAAGCCCTATATGGTCTATATGGTCAGGGGCCTGCCTACTTGAGGGACCGCCTTTCCCCAAATGTGCCCCAGAGAGCACCGAGGTCAGGGACACAGAATTGCCTGACTCTTCCCGGCCCGAGAGATGCCAGGTTGGCCGCTACTAAAGCCAGGGCCTTTTTCAGTGGCGGCTCCACACTGGTGGAATGAGCTCCCGTATAACATCAGGGTCCTGCGGGACCTTTTACAGTTCCCCAGGGCCTGTAAAACGGAGCTCTTCCACCAGGCCTTCGATTAGGAGCCGCCACTGATGATGATGATGATGATGATGATGATGATGATGAAGAAGAAGAAGAAGAAGAAAAGAAGAAGAGGAGGAGGAGGAGGAGGAGGAGGAGGAGATTGGATTTGTACCCCACCCTTCACTTGGAGTCTCAGAGCGGCTTACAAACTCCTTTCCCTTCCCCTCCCCACAACAGACACCCTGTGAGGTGGGTGGGGCTGAGAGAGCTCTTGACAGAAACTGCTCTTTTTCCAGGACAGCTATGCCAGAGCTTGTGACTGACCCAAGGTCACATCAGCAGGTGCAAGAGGAGGAGGGGGGAATCAAACCCGGT